CCCCGCGGCTCCCCAACGCAGTGTGGCGCGGCGTGGCGTGTGCCGGGGCGTCTGCGGACAGGCGAGGGCTCCGGTGGTGCTTCGGGTGTTGGTTTGGGGCTGAATATTAGAGGGGGAGTAAGTCTAGCTATTTGGAATGTTTTGGTCTTTGCTCTTCCGAGAAGGAAAATATTAGACCTACACTTTATTGCTCTGGGGGGGAAGGAGCGTTGCGCTGGAAATGAATACACAGCGTCCAGCCGGAGAGCTGAGAGTTAAATCAGTAACTTCTTCGGAAGTGAGAGTGAACTGAGGCCAAAGGTTCATTTAAGAAAGCGGAAAGCTTGCTTGCTTTCCTCCCTCCTTCCCTCCCAACACACAGAAGCACCCAGGAACGGGCGAAATAAAGGAACATTTTACCCTTTCCACAAAGAATAGTTGAGCACCTACCAAACTGCTAGACAGGAAACACAAGTGTTTTGACTTCCCCACTGTATGACCTTGGGCAAGTTATTGACCCTCTCTGAGTTGACATTCACAACCCAGCACCAGGTACAAACAGGAATTGGAATTAGAGGTGTTCTATCCGCAAGAAGTGTTAATGAGTCATTTTGATTATTCCCTGGTAGATTAGAAAACGTGGGCAGAGGCATGGTCAGCCTGGCAGCCAACAGGGAATGATCAAGGGAAAGTCTGATTAACCCCTGACAAATCCTTTAAGGGGGTGTTTTGGTAGCTGTTACCTCTCCCATATGGAGGGTTAGGAGGGTTCAGGCTTCTGGGGCCTAAAGCCACCTTTCCGGTGTGGAGGGTGAATCTGGGAGGAGATATAGGAGGAAAGAAAGGGTTTCTTGCTGTTAACTTTGGGGAGCAGTAGCAGCTACCGTCTTACCCTACTGTAGGGAGAAAACTGGACTGAGGGATGAGAGCCAGTGGGGTGCTTTCTCCTCAAAGGACATTCATTACACCTGCTCCTTCCTCCTCCTCCACCTGCTGGCTTCCTGTCCACACTTCCTGCTAGTGCCCACTTCTATAACCCAGAGACTAGCTCTTTCTGTGCTGTGTGGGACAGCCACATCTGGAAAACTATCATCCAGTTAATCCCAAGGGCAAGTGTTCCTTTCTTTAAAGATGTACAACTTCTCTTCTGAAGACCAGGTAAAGGACTGGAGCCTATGAGGCCTCGATGCACATGGCAGCCTTGGGCACCAACTAGACTATGAAACTGACTGGTAAGCCTCCCCTCACTGGTGAAGGTAGTGACACCCAGGCACACTGTGAGCACAGGCTCTGAGGGATGAGTTGTCAGCCTCTGCTTCTCGGCTGTGCAGGGTACTGGCCTGTGTCACCCGGCAGAGCACAGCTCAGTGACTTATCCTGGGTTCTAGGAGGTTGGCAGGGAAAGCCCAGCCCAGCAGATCAGGCCTAGTTTAAGTGCCTGCCCCCAGTCAGGATCTGATCAAACAAGCATTTCTGAGAACAGGAACTGTAATATCTCATCTGTCTTCATATCCCCTGGTGCCTTGTTGGTACCTACTCGCTAGGTATTCAGTAAAGATTTCTTGAACACTTATGTACCGGATGCTGAGAATACTGATAAGCATGTCTCTGAAGGACAAACATCTCTCGTGCCCCTGTAGAAGTTACTTTCTAGTAGTCATACCAAAAAAAAAAAAAAAAAAGTTAATGAAACAATTGTAAATTTTGATATAGCATAAAAGACAAAAAAGGGCAGCAATAGAGATGAATGGGGGTCAGTGGGATTTGCTTCAGAGAAAATCAAAGGTGACAAGCGAAACCTTAAATGTCAACATTAAACCTTTGTTGAATGAATAAATGAGTAGAGCAGTATGACTTTGGGGTAAGCATGTTATCTCCTATGTCCATTTCATCTGGGAAGGCTGGAGAGTCCGAATTATTTCTAAAAACTCATGGTATTGTCCAGATTCATCATGATAAAGACAGGAAAAAGTAAAACCTAGGGGCACAGTGACAGGAGGGGTGGGAGAAGGTATGTGCCGACAAGTTGCATCAAAAGTCTAAATGCTCAGGATCGGAGCCTGGCAGGAGGGAGGGAGGGCACGACAGCAAGCCCGCCGTCCCCACCCCCATCTCTTCTCTTTGGAAACCTTCGGGAAGACTTCCCACTCCCAGGACTCCTGCTCTGAAGATTGTACTTTCCTGTCCCATTCTTGTCTAAAGAGGAGGAGGAGGTGGTATTAGCAGCCAGCAAAGATTGAATAAAAATAAAGCCCAGATGACTCAAATAGCAAGAAAACTGATTAGACACACGCAGGATCTGGGCGCTAGCCTTGCCCTCCCGTTCTACACCTTAGAAAAGTAGTTTGCTAGGAATCCACTGAGGTTTAACTGCAGCTGCCAGTCTTCCATCAAACTGGGTTTGGGCTGTGGTGGAGATGCAGTCTTTTTCACCAAACCCCCAAATTCTCTCATGGTAGGAATGCATATCACCTAATGAAACCTGTAAGATGTGAGTGAGGTTTTTTAAAATGACTTTGTATTTCATATTCTCCACAATCATGTTTGGCTTTGCTTCCAAGCACAATTTTTTTTTTAAAAGATTCATTTTTATTTATGCATACAAAACTGGGGTGCAAGCCAGAGGTGCAGGGGGATTCACCATAGACAGTGGGGACCAGAACAGAACAGGCAGGTCTACTGAAATATACTGCTGAGGGGAGCAGCGGGCGAGAGGAAAGATCTGCTGTGCCATGGGGGTCACTAATCTAGCCAGGGATCGAACTTGTGCCTGTGACTGGTGACAGCTTGATTGTGCTGAGACTTTGACCCTTGCATCACCAAGGAGACCCACGATATTTTTATATTACATTAATTTTTGAAGTTATACTATTTTTATCCAGTAGAAGGTAATCTCCATAGAAGATGTTGCTTCATTGACTATATCCGGAGGCGTTGTAGTGTTGCAGACTCAATGCAGATCAATTAATTAGGACACGCGTGAAACCCTGGACTATGAGATCCCTGTTTTAAAGATGAGGAACCTAAAGATCAGAAAAGTTAATAATTTGTCCAAGGTCATACTCAAAAGGCTGTATGATATTTTGAAGGGCAGTGTTCAGAAAATAGCAGGCACCGCTCACTGCTATGGAGAGCTTATTCATAGTCATTTCTAAATTCTTTTTCCCTCAGGATGATGACAGACTACCCCTCTGAATCCAGAGCTCAGGCTGGATGCCAAAGCTGAGATGTACTTTCCTTTCAGATAAGAAGGTACATTTCACACTGGGCTCAGCTGAAGAACTTATGGCCTAGAAGCACCTGGGAGAGAGAACTCTCAGGCTTCACAGGCCGCCTGTCCATGCTGCCCAGGATCAGCTGACGGCAATCTGGGCCCTGGAAACTCAGATGTGGCGCTTACTCAGCAGCCCTGTGGCCTTTCTGGCCACCAGGTACATCAACTCCTCCCCCAGCACTGGATCTCAAAAGCTTCCAGCTAAGAGGGAAAGCTGAACATAAGTACCGAAGATGGTTCATCTTCAAGTGGGAGGAAAAGTTGACTTGGAAAAGGTCATATCCCCACCTCTGAATTAGGAGTTTGAGAGTTGCCAAGAAGTTACCAATATAGGTCACTAGGGATTAGGATAAAGGCTTTGCTTTTTAACCCCAAAACCCTTCATCAAGACTCCCTGCTAGCTAACCATAATCGCCAGGGCAGGGGCTTATCTGCACATTCTCTAACTGCACACCAGGCAGGCACCCAGTTGGCCAGCACAGCCTGTGCTCAGCACTGCTTGCTAGCCTCCAAACCCCTGTTGCTTCCTTATCTGTACAATGGGACTACAACAGTGCCATTGCTAGTGTTGTTACAATCTGTATTTAAGAGGACCATTGCAACTCTGGCATCAGGTAAGTGCATAAAATGGGTATCACATGACTATTGACTAGTTCTGTTCCTTCCAGTTAACCCAAGGTTAAAAGGCCAGCCTGAAGTAAGGGGAAGAGCTTGGAGTCTGTCTCCTGAGGCCCTGCCACTACCAGGTTTCTGGATAGTGTTTCTCAGCCCTCCAAAGTCTACGTGATA